GCACAACCGGCCATAATTGTGCCATCTATAAAATATGACATCAGCCGCTTGAAATTTAGCCTAGTGCAATTGTTCGTTCGCCTAACCTGACTTCCTTAATGCTTACATGGGTATCATCGCTGAGTTTAATATTTGTTGCTTCATACTTATCAAGGTTTTTTCGTCCCTTATTAACCGTTGTCCATTTTCATAAAGTCGACTTCATTAACTGGCCAGTCTAAGTCAAAATAAATACGATTGCATCAGATAGTTTTAAGGCTATTTGTAATGAAAGCAAATCCACTAAAATGCCAGTGAGTAATCTTTAGTAACTTTGAGGCGTATTTAAGTTTGCCAAATACCGGTGTTGACCGCCGAACGTAAAAAGAGAACCCAAGTCGATACTCGGAGAGAAATAATCCCCCTTGGTTTCTCACGCCCCGGTAGGAGCGTGTTTCAGGCCAAATTTCTCTCTCTGTCTGCATGTTAAATTAATCATTTTCTTGCGAGAAAACAATGCTCATTTCTATTTTCGAATACTACTGCTTAAACAGCTTTAATTTAACTAACAAACAACCTAGGCTGTATATTGTGGAGCAGGTGAGGGACACACTCCAGTGGGTTTTGTAGCAAAAGGCAAAAAACAGACAATGCAATGGAAAGTTTCTTCATAAGAAATATGACCAGCAACTTTCATATAGGCAGAAAAGCGTGGGGTGATTTCGCCAGGTTTGCCAAATTTACGCGTCACCAACGGGCAAGTCGCTTTTATGAGTCACATGGCGAAAAACTGAGAGCTCGCTCGCCGCCTTTGATCTGCGAAATGATACTTATAGAGACTGTCTTCCCGAAGTTCTTACAAACTCATGTTGCCTAATCGAGTGTAAGATACCTCGTGACACCGACTTTAGAACCGCCCACACACAGCGAAGACCACAGGCTTTCAGGTAGATTGTTTTAGATTGGTAGTCAGACTGTTCTAACCACACTCACCTCTACAGAAAAACGAATTTCTCACGATCAATATTCAATAAATATTCGCATAGTCATCGAAGGCAGTGACTGACGAGCGCAGTGGTCGCCACATCAACTGCTGTTCGACGGCCGTAGCTGACTCAAATTGTGTTCTCTACTTGCAAATTCTCAACAAAAGGGTAAAGATGTCACCGCCTACATCTACTCCCAAGACCCAGACCATGGGAAAGCAGGACGAATTTTCGACGGCAATTGCCGAGGATCTCGCCGAGTGGGCGTCTCATCTCTTCCCGGATCTTGCCGGCGATCTGAAAGGCGACAATTTCTTTGACCAAATATCCGACGGCATACTGCTGTGCCAGTACGCAACTCAGCTACACCAGCGCATGACTGAGAGCAGGTCAGGCTCTAAGGAGAGTAGCAAGCGACGACTACAAGGGGTCCGTGTTGCAAGTGCTAGGGCTTTCCTTCCCATTGAGCCTCCAAAATATCATTCACGGGAATTCGGACCACGAAGCCGGGCGGGTGCTCCCTTCTGGGTACGGGAAAATATAGCCAGCTTCCTAAAATGGTGTCGCTCAGTAGGATTTCCCGACAGCATCCTCTTTGAGACAGAGGACTTGGTATCAAGGAAGAATCTGCGCAGCGTGACTGTCTGCCTCTTGGAAGTGGCTCGCCTAAGTGGCAAATTCGGAGTGGAGGTGCCGGAGATAGTGCACCTTGAGAAGCAAATCGATGCAGAACTAGCTGCCGAGCGTCGCGGTGTGTCTAAACGGGAAGGGGTGGTCAAGCCCTCTACGCCTAAAAATAACAGTCCGGTTGCGGACGTATCTTCTTTGGATGAAGTCGTAAGTTATGCTTATACATGAATTATAACGGGCTTATTTTTCCTAGGGGCTAGGCGAGCTCCGCGTTTTTTTGAAGAAATTGACTTTATACTTTATTCTGGTGTGTCCTGTTAGTGCTTCTGCACGTGCTGGGCAGGATCGCTATTGGAAGCAAGACTCTCCTCGGAGTGATATAGTACTGCTTATTTTTAGCTTCCTAAATGACCTAATCAGAATGGGAAGCTTGACAATACGTATGGCTTTTGAGATCCAACCAGAAAGGTATTCACGGGTGGTTATGAAATCTTTACCAACATATAGGTTCTTTATAGATAGAAAACGATATTTGGAGGTCGTAATGACGGTCCCTCTATGCAATTCAAAAGAAGACTACGAAACCCCTGTTCACATTCAGACAAGCAGTCTTTAGGAGATAATGCTACGAATAGACGAAGTTGGCCTTCGTGATCGATTAGACAGGATCTTTTGATTGGTCGCTTCGAAGGGAGAGGAGAATGCTGTTTGAGTTGGGAACCGCAGGTGATAACTGATCAGGTGTAAATATGTTTGCCTCTGTAGTGGCGCATTTGGCATGGCACAAGTTTTGCCGCACTGAAAAGGTTCGAATTTTGAAGGTTTATCGCATGGGGTTAAGTAAGTTAAACTCTAGCAACTGCGATCTTCAGACCATGGTTCCTTAAGAGAGAAGACAGTGGAGGCCAGAATAGTAGGAAGAGTTTATTTCGTACACAGAGAAACGAAGAATAAGCAGGAAGAAGATTAACTACGGAGAGCACGTCCTTCCGCTGGAGCGGCGTGAACCGAAGTGCGGGAATAAGTAGAAGGCCCCAGAGTGAGCATTGGGTGAGTTAGCTTCAGGCTGCTGATTAGCCCGACCACTGTGGGGTGCGTGCGTGCGTGCGCACCAGTCGCCCGAGGACAAAAGTTACGCCTCGTGTGCAGGCATTGACCATCGCG